GGGGGGGGGGGGGGGGGTACGCATACAGAACTAGGGTCTTGGGATACTCTTAGGGGTCAAAGGACAGAAGTAGGGGTAGGGTATAATCTTAAGCAGTGAAAGATTACAGAATATACTTTCCATCTTGGTATTGACCATTTTTTTGTGTCGGAGATAAATGGCCACTATTTCCATCCTAATCTGAGAAAGGCTGTACTGAGAAATATTCCAGGCTGTTGCCTTTGGTTGATATCATGTATTCATGTTTGAATGTCTTTTTACATGGATATTAGTCCCTTGGTTTTACCACATGTTGCAGTGTGATTAACAACCTGGTATGTACTTGTGCTTGTTTGAGAGGAAAGTCCTGTTTAGGACAGGTGTGACATTTCAATTGGTTTATGATACATACGTTATAAACTAATATAAAAACTTTCTTTTTCATATCATGATATGAGGGAAAATTCTGGATCTAGATGGGACTGAATTTCGTATATAGGTCAGTGATTTTTATAGGCTTTGAAAGTTCAGTCTTTTTAAAGTGACCAGACAGGGACTGTGATGTCTGCCTCTGGGCATGATATACTAATATGTATTGCCTAGTTATTGTGAGTGCTTTTCAGAGATGACTGTAGGCTACAATAAAATAAACAGAGTCCTGAAAACCACACACAGGTAGAAGCATTTTGAAACAGGAAGCTTAGTGTGTACTGTTGGTTATCCTGACCCGTGAGACTTTTTCCATTGAGGTCTATGTATATCATGGTGTAGGGATATAGATAGAATGTTTATCTAGAAAGTTTGGGTTTTTTTCCACACCATCCGGTACAAATACTTGTGAAAGCCTAATTGAGTGTAATTGTTAGAAACATGGGAAGGGAAACAAACAAGGTAAGAGGACAATTATATTCGTCTATGCCACAACATTAAAGTCTATCTGTCTACACCATGAAGTCTAAGAATAATCATCCATGCCACCAGGTATAAAGTTATGTTTCCTAACACCACAACCTATTTGACATGTTTACCTGGTAGTTGAATTTGCTGATTTGTTTTCTGTTTAATTTGAATTCCTGCTCCATAGAAACCCCAAGTAGACTCTATGTATTTGTAAATATCATTGCTCTCAACCCCTGTCTTTAGGGAGATGATTTGGCAGTGTGATTAGATGACATCGCCTTTATTTATGGTTTGTGGTATGAGGGAAACAAAATATCCAAGGTGAAATGATCAATTATAAGTAACATATATGTATAAATCTATCCGTTGGAGTTAGTTTAGGATTGTTATGTGAGATTTGAACCAATGTAAATGTGTTGTTGGGCATCTTCTGTAAACACAGACAGGCTTGTTTATACACATGTGTCATTGAAATGTGATCAGGCTTTGTTACAAGGTCTATGTTAGGTCAAGGTCCAATTTAAAATGGAGGACTTCAGATACCAAGATTTAAGTAAAATATAAAAAATATAAAATGTGTGAACCTAATTAATTTCGCTGGTTGGTTGTGTAGCATTGTGCATGTGCACAGTCCTGGGGTATACTTGAGGAAGATTTATATTTGATATTGACTAGCTGCATGGCTGGGCCTAATAGGTTTTATAGTCATGTGAGTAATCAGCTTGTAAACAGATTGTTGTGTGTATGACTGTAATCAGTACCATACTGTAATTATAACCATATATAGCTGTAGATAGGTGATCTGGTCCAATAGCTTATTTACAAACACAAATCTGTACACTAGGATATGATTTATCAAGGTTACACAGCATAAACCTGTGAAATAGGTGCATTTCAAGTCTACCTATACCCACAGTTTTTATACTATATAAATATCTTTATATTGACCCCCCCCCCCCTTTTTTTGGTGACTACCTTGTAAACATGAACCATTATACAAAATATATATGGTGCCAATATACGTGTACCCTCATATTTAAGGGGGCTGCGGTGGCCAAGTGGTTAAGGCGTCTGACATTCTGCTACCACTAGCCCTCCACCACTGGGTCACGGTTTGAGGCCTACGTGGGGCAGTTGACAGGTACTGGCTGTAGGTTGGTGGTTTTTCTCCTGGAACTCCGGCTTTCCTCCACCACCAAAACCTGAAACGTCCTTAAATGACCATAGCTGTTAATAGGACGTAAAACCCAAACAAACCCTTATATTTGATGACTATATATATGTATACATGTACACTTGTCGCTCCTGGACCATATTCAGATTTTTTTGGTAAAAGTAGCAATTGTACCTACTTTTTGAACTAAAATTGAGCCAGCCCTGGAGTAGCCTTGAACTTAGTCACACACATAGTTTTATCTTTGGCTATCTTAATGACTCATTCAGCAAGATCTTGTGGTCAAAGACACAGCCAGGTCGTAATCATGTACATTTTGTGTTGGTGGGATGGGTACAAAGACACAGCCAGGTCGTAATCATGTACATTTTGTGTTGGTGGGATGGGTACAAAGAAAAGAAAAGAAAATACTTGAGGAATAAACAAGGGTTATAGGCAAACATGGAGGTTTTTGTATCGTTTCAAGTGGAACGTCAGAGGTTATTGATCTCCAAGGTTCAAGTAATTTTGTCTGATGTTATTTGCTGGGATGCCATACTGTGTTCAGAATTACAGCTTGTTTTCCTCCAATATCAAGAATTGACAATACCAGGGTGATTGACCTGGGATCTATACCTGTACAAGGTATTTGTAGTGGAAATTCCAAGATTATGAAATAATTTGTGCATATTTATAACATTCCGATATAACTTATTACACTATTTTTGACACATACAGCCGTAGAAAAGATTGCTCATGTCTATTGTGTGTTTCAGGTGGTGTGACCTGTTTGTGTCTAGAGCAACAGTCCACTGTCAGTCTACTGTTGTCTCACCTGGATATAACACTTCAACATGTTGTCTTTCAAAATCCTAATCTTGACCTATCTTTATATTTTCCAGATGATTTGGATGATAAGGGAAAGAAAGCTGACTTTGATGAGAATGGCAACCCTCGTCTGAGTGATGTTTCACAACTTATGCCAAACAGCTATATGCAAATGAGAGAACCACCCCAGCCTGTTGATAGAGGGGCAACTGCAAGCAAGACCAGATTTCGTCAAAACCAAAATGGTTGTTTTCCTTCCAAACTTGAACAACTTGAAAACTATCCATTTAGTGGACAACAGGTGAGAGACCTTGAGGATTTGTCTGCTGCTCAGAGCTCTGCTGATTCTGCAAACGCACCCAAAAAGTCACGGAAAAAGGTGAAAAAGGAGAAGGTGATTCGTGCGGAGGAGGTAGAAAACTATGTAGGGGATAAAGACGTGAGTGAACTTGTCAAATTTATTGAGCAAGACAATGGCGGCCCGGCAGCCAAAAAAGCTGTCAAGAAGCTTAACCACACTACTACTGTCCCCCTACCAACAACCAATGACGCTATCACAACCACTGTCAAAACGACGGAGAAAAATGCTAAAAAGAGTCGCGACAAGAAACACCGACTTCCTGTTAACAACAAAGTGGTAGAAGGTCATAGTGGACGGGAAAGAAGTGAAAGTGGAAGTGCACTTAGCGGTAAGGAGGAGGAGGAGGAAGTAGTGGATAAAGTAACTGAGGATCTACCCAGTGTCCAGCTCAAACAGGACGAGGATATTGAGTTGGAAGCAGTAATTGTTGAGAATCCCATTGCTGTTCAGAGCAAGGATTCTCTGCTTCTCCTTCACAATACAAGTGTTTCTGTAAATACAATGGGAAATTCCTATGGACGAACCTCAAAAGAGGAGAATGAATTGATTACCTCAGAAGAAAGTGTTATAGGAGCATGTGAAAAACTAAATAACGACATGTCAGGTGAAAACAACAAAGACTTCTCAAAGCTTGTCACCCAGAACAATCATGTGGTGCATAGTATAGGCAAAGTCAAAATCAACAGTCTACATGAGAATGATAAAATACATGAGGACAAATCTGTTCAAAACAATAAAAAGAAAATGGGGAGTGTGACTGTCACAACTTCAGCCAGTGTAAATAACAACAAAAAGACAGACAAGGCCAAGAATGCTACTGGTGAGGAGAAGCTGGTCACCGGAGCTACCAACAATATCAAACACAATAACAACAAAAACTCAAAGGTGAAGGGGGAAGTCACCCATGGGGAGACCTTTGAATGTGAAGGCCAAACAAAGTCGGACAATGCGAAGGTCGTGCCATCTAAAGCTTCTGCTTCCTCAGTTGCAGCTGCTAATGTGAAAAACAATGTGGTAATGTCGGAAGAAAATTATGGTAACTACATTTTCACTGACCTTGACCTGCCAGCCGCAGAACCAGAGTTTACTATCGTCGGTAAGAAAAAGAAACGCCCAGTTACAGGCCAAGTACACACTACACCTCAGATGATCAAAGAACCTAATAATAGCAACCACAGTATTAAAAATGGCAGTGTGCATGCCACTCTAAGGACAGTAGGACGTGTGGAACGTCCTCGTAAGCCAGTGCCGCGATCAGTGACCCCTCCACCACGTAACAGTCTGTCCACCACAGACAGTATTGACTCGGAAAGGCTGCGGGATCTCAGTCCCTCGTCATTTCCAGCTCTGAGCAGTTCCAGCTCCAGTATAAACTGTGGTCGTCAAACATTCAGGGAAGGCCGGCGCAACTCCACAGGGGATGTCCCCTGTAAGGAGATTGCTCTAAAGGTCCAAGATGATAGCAGTGACATTGAGTCGGTGAAATCCCTTCCCGTGGCTCCCGGTGGCCCAATCCTTCCAGTCTCATATGCCAAGATGGCTGCCTCACCCAAGCCTAGCAACACATCGCTAGCTGGTAGCAGTGGGGAAGCAGAAGAGGTTTATGATAGCTCACAGGAGGCCAACAAGGAGTGGAAGTCTGCTAACTGGAAGGGCAGCCCCACAGAAAGGAGGCACTCCATAGGCTCAAGTCCTGAAAATAACCTCAAGGAAACTGACAATATGCTCCAAACACGCCTAAAATATGGCGGCAGTCAGGAGCTTCTCCTTGCCCCTGGGGAGGCTGAGGAAGAGTCAGTTGCTCCTGGAGAGCAGGAAGCAGTGTCCCCTGTTGCTAGTCCTAGTGCTTGTTTCATGTCAGAGGACCCCTTTGAGGTGGTGGTGTCCTCGGCTAGTGCTCCAATTTGTAGTAAAGTAATGTTTGGTGATGTGACAATGGCAAGTGTTTCACGTAAGTGCAAAGGGACAAATTCATTATCAGACCATAAAGTTTCAGTTTCACCCTCTACCATTAATAAGACTCTGCTGCCAGAGGATGTCGGTGTAGTTACTCCCCTCAGAGGGAACGGTGATGTGGAAAGTGCACCTCTCCCCTCTATGGAGGGTGTAAATGGTGCCCCAGGGGAGTGTATTCTGCCCCTGAAGGAACCGAGCCCCAAGTGTGGGGGTCAACAAACTAAGTCACTTGTGCCTCCTACTAAACATCAAATCGGAAACGGAAGAAAAGTCCACAAAAACAAATCTGTCATTTTCTTAGATAAAAAAATGAATCAGGTGCCGAAAAATTTAGATATTACATTTGGCTTTGAGCTAGCTATAGACACAGATTCAGTTGGGATCTCCCAAGGACAGTGTAATGTTGTTGATGATACAAGTCTTTCGTCTACTTCATCTCCGTCTGCCACCTCAGTTCTAAGTCATCAGTCGAGCCCCAGTGAAAGTGATGTCCCTAGTGTGGATATAAACTCTGTGATAACGTCTTCACATCAACATAGCCATTCAGAAACTTCCAATGAAATGTGTATAACCTCTAGTTTAACTTTTGATAATGAGAAATGCAAACAAAGTGTTGTTACAAATTTATCAAAAGACAATATATCCAAAATAAGCCATTCCCTTTCAGGGAAAAATGGTGTTGTATTACCCAAAACAGACCATTGTGAAATTGTTCTATCTGCCTCAGTTGAAACGAGCAATATGGCATTGCATAATTGTCAGACATCAAAATCAACCATAGAAAACAAGATCTCTAGTGACCCTGATATACCTAAGGGAAATAACTCCAGGCCAAACAGCATTGTTGTGAGCTATGGAAATGCTAATAATAAATTGATGGATGTAGCTTCTTCAATTCCCAGTGCTAGTGATAAGACTGATTGTGCCAGGCAGCTGAGGTTTGTTCCTGAGAAAAATGTGGACAAGGCATGCTTTAATATGGCTGAGGCTGTGTCCTATGTCGTCAGAGGTGAGTAGTCCAAACACACCCTGTTTGTTGAAATATCATTTGATGTTGTAAACAGCACTTAACAATGGAAATGCAGTTATTTGTTGTGGTAGCCATGTTAGTTTCAATACTCTAGATAGGTGTACATGCTACTTTCTAAGAGCATTGTCCACTTGAACGATTATAGCCCTGACTTTGACAGTTAAAATGTACCATTTTAGTGAATGTTGTAGGTCATTACTGTTAGGCTGTTAAAGATATCTTTATGAAATTTGAAATGCATCTGTATAACTACAGGTGTACAGTGCAATATGTTTAGGTCACAGTGACCTTCACCTATAGGTCAAAGGTCAAATAAGTGCTTAATTCCCTGTGAAATCTAGTATTGGTGACAATTTTACATTTCAAGCTGTTCGATATATCTTAATGAACTTGCAGTATACCTGCATCACCCACAGAGAGATTGCGGTACATTGTGGTAAGGTCACTGTGCCTTTTACCTAAAGCTATGAAGTCAAGGTTGAATTAGTTTAACACATGCACGCATGGCTAATAAGGGTGACGTATGCTTTTTTTTCACAAAAACAAATCTTAAGTTTGATATGAAGTTTGAATGCAACTGTTTGAGAATAGTTTTAATGGACAAATGATGAATACACTGAAACCATCAAATTGAAATAGACGACTAATCAAAGCATTGGGACTATCATCTAGTGTAAGGTGTAAATATATTGTGGTGTATACATTTATATAAACCAGTATACTGAGGCTAACAGCTATACAGTATATGGTTTATATATATAAACCAGTATACTGAGGTTAACAGCTATACATTGTATGGTGTATATATATAAACCTGTTTACTGAGGCTAACAGCTATACAGTGTATGGTGTATATATAAATCAGTTTACTGAGGCTAACAGCTATACAGTGTATGGTGTGTATATATAAACCAGTAACACTGTATAGCTGTTAGCTTCAGTAAACTGATTTATATATACCCCATACACTGTATATCAGTTAGCCTCAGTATACTCGTTTATATATATCTACACCTATATAAACCAGTATATTGAGGCTAACAGCTATTCAGTGTATGGTGTGTATATATAAAACAGTATACTGAGGCTAACAGATATACAGTGTATGGTGTATATATATAATTCAGTTAACTGAAGCTAGCAGCTGTACAGTGTATGGTGTTTATATATAAACCAGTATACTGAGGCTAACAGCTATACAGTGTATGGTGTATATATATAATTCAGTTAACTGAGGCTAACAGCTATACAGTTCTGTATGGTGTGTATATATAAACCAGTTTACTGAGGCTAACAGCTATACAGTGTATGGTGTATATATATAAACCAATATACTGAGGCTTACAGCTATACAGTGTATGGTGTATATATATATATTAACTAGTATACTGAGGCTAACAGCTATACAGTATATGGTGTATATATAAACCAGTATACTATGGCTAACAGATATACAGTGTATGGTGCATATATATAAACCAATATACTGAGGCTTACAGCTATACAGTGTATGGTGTATATATATAAACCTGTTTACTGAGGCTAACAGCTATACAGTGTATGGTGTGTATATATAAACCAGTATACTGAGGCTAACAGCTATACAGTGTATTGTGTATATATATTAACCAGTTTACTGAGGTTAACAGCTATACAGTGTATGGTGTATATATATAAACCTGTTTACTGAGGCTAACAGCTATACAGTGTATGGTGTATATATATAAACCAGTATACTGAGGCTAACAGATATACACAGTGTATGGTATATATATATAAACCAGTATACTGAGGCTAACAGATATACAGTGTATGGTGTATATATAAACCAGTATACTATGGCTAACAGCTATACAGTGTATGGTATATATATATATATAAACCAGTATACTGAGGCTTACAGCTATACAGTGTATGGTGTATATATAAACCAATATACTGAGGCTAACAGCTATCAAGTGTATGGTGTATATATATAAACCAGTATACTATGGCTAACAGCTATACAGTGTATGGTGTATATATATAAAGCTAACAGCTATACAGTGTATGGTGTATATATATAAGCCAGTATACTGAGGCTAACAGATATACAGTGTATGATGTGTATATATATAAACCAGTATACTGAGGCTAACAACTATACAGTGTATGGTGTATATATATAAACCAGTATACTGAGGCTTACAGATATACAGTGTATGGTGTATATATAAACCAGTATACTGAGGCTAACAGCAGGGGGGGGGGGGCGGGATATTCAGTTTAAGGTATATGCTTATCATGTAAAACTAGCAGACAGCAAACAAGAGCTCATCATCTCGTATAAAAATATCCGAGACGGAAAAATCATTAAATAATTGGCAAACATGTCAAAACAAGGCCGACATTTCGTTCACTCTGAACACCAAGCCATTCCCTCTGTGAAAATAATGTTAGGCATGGCTTGTGTCTGAGTAGAGTGGATGAAGGGCATTTTGACATGTTTGCTATGACATTGTCTGTTAACTTAAACATCTATAAACTATTGTCCACATTTTGACAAGCTGTTGTAGTGTATCAGGAAACATCATATACTAGCATCCAAGGTCATTTAAAGTCACAGAGGTCAAATGTCTGTGTCTCTGCTGCACAGGTTTTGTATAAGGGAGGGTGCATTTATTGTTTAGCTTGTCCATCCATCTACAGATCTGTACAAAATCCTTTGTTTAAATACTTAGTGTTTAGATCCATTACTCCAATACTGGAAATCCAACCATCAGCACTCGTTGACTTCTATTAGTCTTTGGTTTTAGCTCCGTTTCTTTGGCTAGCAACAGGTCCTCTGGGCCTCTTGTCTCTCACATTATACTAGGTAGTTCCACCTACACACGTACAAATCAGTAAACAATGTCCTACAGAAGGTGTACCCACATCAATAAAACCCTGTCACTATTTGTCTTCTATTTAGTCATTTTCTTACCCTAAGTATTCATAATGTACAGCAGTATGTATCTTTGTCATGATGAAGACCAGGAAACAAACTTCTAACTAAAATACAAAGCTGTTCTAGGGTGTTAATTAGCATTCTTTAATTCTTTGTTGTGTTTGTATTTCAGAATGGGACAAATTTGTACAGTTGAAGGACAAAAGTAAGTACAGGAACACACTGTGTCACCTATTTTCGGACACTACTACTATCTGGTTAATTAGTCCATGCACATCTATACATTAGATTCAAGTGATAATTAGAAATCGGTGTTTGCTCAAATGTATTCCAATTATTTACATTTCAAAAGTAAAGTCTTGGGGCTACAGTGTAAATAAACAGACTTGCTGTAAAGATTTTTTTAAGTCTCCATTGATTTAAGTGAACCCTTGTTATATCATACTTTTCCCTCCATTTCTTCGATTTGCTTGTACGTTAGTTAGAAAGTCTTTACTAGTTATTGATGTATTCACAATGTCAGAAGCAGTTTCTACCAAAACGTGAGGTGAGAGGTGGGAGAAAAGAGTGGGACATTATGTATCAGGGAAATGCTGGTCTCTGATGTAGAATTTGGGTCAGAACCTCAGACAATTAATCTTGCAGTCCAAGTAGGGGACTGTGCATAATTGACACAGATATTGTGCATCCTATTATCACCCAGATTCTATGTCTGGACCAGGCCGACCATTGATATGGGTTAGTCCATCTCAATATGAAGGGATATAGAAGTAAATAGGTTAATGCTATTGTCATTTATCAATTATGGATATCTGATATAGTATTATTCTAGAACCTCTTTGGTTCCATCAAAGGCTTTCTCTGCCTGTGATAGGAATCTGTCTGCAGTAAGTGTGTAGGTATGATGTAGAGAAGATTTCAGAGTAGACCAGTCAGTCAAAATTGATGATATCCAGCCTCATGCTTGAGGTAGGGGAGATGTAGACTACACATTCAGTTTATCTCCGTTTCATGTAACAATATCAGTTCATACAGACAACCCGGTCTGTTAACACCTCCCAAAAGGAGAGCATAGGTGTCAAACCTCCCTACCAATCTCCCTTAAACTCCCTCAATCAAGTCCAAACTCACACAAACTCAAAATCTACATCATGGGGTCACATGATCTCATAGGTACTGCAGGGGGGGTGTAATGATCATAATACCAGGTAGGTGTGTCTGAATCAAATTAATGCTTTTTGGAGTTTTAATTCATAAAAAGGGAAAGATAAATTGAGCACAGCAGATTCAGTGGCGTTTTACACACTATCTCCCTCATTGGAAATGTTGAATGAGGGAGATCACCCTCATTGGAGGTTTCGAAGGTTGACACCTATGGTCCGAGAGAGCAAAGACAATATTGATGAATAGGTAGTATGTTTATAAAAACCTGTCTATTAGGACCTCCCAAAGGAGAGAGCAAAGACAAGGTTAACAGGCTAATGGTCTTTATAGTTAGCTGTTACTTCAGGAATGTTTCAATGTACATGATGGACCAACTCGTAGTTGTGACAGAGAGCGTTTACCAACCAGTACATCATAAATGATAATTTTATGCATCAGTGAATTATAACCTAACTACTGTCTCGCTAGAGTAATTTTGAATGTTTTTTTTAGTATAATCCATCACATGTGTGTGACACTTGGATAGCTGCGTCAGGTGTGTTTAGTGACATTGTCTGTAGTAGCTTTATGTGTATATATAGCATCCTGTCCATTTTGAATTACATCAATTGCAAAACTGATTATGCTGAGATGTACGTATACTGTGATAATACATTGTGCTTTATATGTATCCTTGCAGATCCAGCCAACTTAGTTGTGTATAGCAGCTCTGAGTAAGACACAGCAGATCACACCACCCTGTTGTCATGGAAACAGTTTAGTACACAGTGTTCAGAGAATAGAACAAGGGAGACAACCCATCAACTCACAGCAACAGCTAATGTTACCTTCCTGTAGACAATTGAGCTTAAGTTTGCCTACCGCCAATGTCTGTGTACAAGCCTTATAAATTGTTATATTTATTTGCCACTGTTGTCAATTTTGCATCGACATAGGCAATGTATTTTTGTTACAGAGTGGAAAACATGCATTTTTTCCCAAAGCTATTTTGATGTAATTGTTGCAGTTTAGATGATGTTAGAAATTTAGAAAATGAATTTAATGCACATTTTATGTGAGTTTTAGGGTTGAGGAATAGCCAGAAGGGATTGTTTAATCATGATGGGGTTTTTCAAGCTTCAGAATTTAGTATTCTGACTTCTACAAATGTTTTACACAAACTGTTAATTGTTGCTCCAACAGATACTGGTACTGACCTATCATACAACCTCAAGGTTGGTGATATATCTCAAAATTTTACTGACTGCTTACCATGCAGTTTTTATCATAATGTTAAAATTGAATGAAAAATTTATCAAAAATGCCTAAAAAATATAATTATGTGAATGGAAAAAGTTTATTTTTCCATGCCCGAGACAAAACCTGTTGATATTTTAAGCATATAGACACTACTGTAACAGTATGGTCTACATTCAGCTGTTGCCACTTGTTATACAGGTCAAAAAATGTTAATTGACAGTTTTCTTCACAAAACAATCTAACGGTGACATTTGCTGTCGATAGTGTGTGAACAGTTGCTGTTTACAGTTTATCATGTACAGAAATATTTTTGATTTTGTTTTACCTGCTAATATATACATGTGTAAATTGCAGAAATGGTTGAGTTAGTCTGTTATTGAGTGAAACTTCATTTCACTTATATATTAAGAAGAAGAAGAAAAAAAGAGGAAATAACAAGCAATTGTTGGTTACACATAACCAAAAAATCTCCAATGCTATGTGGTTTTGGTATGGCATGTAGTGGTGGTTTGAATCGGGTCAGAAATATTTTGGAAGATATTACGACTATATAAAGGAATTTAGTGCTTTGATTTGTTGATACTATTTTTTCAGATGGTTTTGATATAATTATCCAAGTAAAGGTACTATATTGTATAAGATATTGGAGACTTGAACTCTGATGTAAAATTTAATAGTTTTAAAAATTCCTTAAGACCTTGTAATACAGACAGTAGAACTAGCAGCTGCCTGTAACGAGGTAGGGGAAGTTAAAAGTAATATAAAGATGTCAAATCGACAAAAGCAATGTGGTGCCAACTTCAGCCTCTTTACCAACTTGACTTGTCAAAAAAGTCATGTTATTAGTCGATGTACCAGTGGTCATTCGTAACACTGTTGCAAAAATTCCATTTTGAATTTATAAATGCCAAAATAGTTCAGAGATGTAGATTTGAAATATTTCTTGTAATGTTACTGTTTGTTGATTGGCCTTGGTCATGTGGGGCAAGTTTAAAGTAAAGGGAAAAATAAAATCTCAATATTCTATTATTTGTACCTAGTAAAATACAGTTCAAATTCAAACATAATCTATTACCTCCCATTCAACCTCCAAATCCACACACAAGCGTTTTTAAGTTGATTTATATATTTGTTTGTAATTTCAAATGCATTATTTATTACTTTTTGAATGTTGGTTATTTTCCTAAACATGTTAAAATTTCCGATAATTTTAATTTCCCTGCTCATAAAATCGAGCTTGATACTTTCCTATCGGTTTGAGTTTGATAATGTCATCACCTGGTTTTGATTACAACACTATGCAGGGTTGATGTGGATGCTTTAAATAATCTCAATTCATTTAAATGACAAAGAAAATCATTGAGAACACAAGTAAGTTTGTTTGCGATAAAAGCCTCTAGAAAGCAACGTTTTGAAGATAAAATTGGAGATGAGCATTTGGAAAACTTGCTTTTTGAGCACTTATTGGTGTTGGAATTAAATAAGTTCTGTTGTACTTGCATTTGTGTAACTGTTACTGTGGTTATACCCTATAATAATCATCCAGTTTCAAAGTTTTAACACCACATGATGAAAAATTGGAGTCAATCAATTAAGGTTTTTACAATAAGGCTCTTTTTGAAGGGTATGTTTGTAATTTTAGAAAGCTAGAGGTAAACTATAAGTATAATGATAAAGTTGGTAACACTTGTGTCAGTAGAGAGTTTATCTTCATGTATCAGTAACAACATTCCTATTTTGACTGCACAGGTTTCCTAGGTAGATAATTGTATCGCTGTATTGTACGTCTGTTACCATGTAAAAGTCAGCTCGGACAATAAACTATTGAAATATCTGCATTTTTAGTCATAGAAACATGCACTTTCCTGTGTGTTCCATGATACCCAGAACTGTTTTGATATTTTTGCACTGCATATCTGAAAGAAAACTTTATTTTACCCTTTGTAATATTTGTGTTGGTTTAATTAAGAAATCTGTTAAAATTGTTAAATGATATATTATATACATATATATATATTATATATACAGGCATGTAATGCTGTTAATCCATTTGGTTAATGTGTACCTTGTTTATATGCTAGCTCCTTTGTTTATATACTAAAATGTTTCTTCAAAGTTTTTATTTGCTCAAAAAAACTATTTTGATAACTTTTTTTTTCATTTCATGTTTATAAGATGGATGTGATTAGGAAATTTAATTATTTTCAAATGTCAGTAAAAAGGAAATAATTTGCAAAACGTTAGTAATATTTACGGTTATAAAAATTTATTTATGTTTGAGATTGGATACATGAAAAGTAATGTTTTTGAAAGATTGGATAGGGGGGTGGCAGGGAGCTATGTTTAGGAGATCAATTTATAAAAAAAAATATGTGTTTTTGTATGCAAGTGTTGTGGGGCAGGCCTGAGTGAGAAGTGCATTGATGGGGACAACGGTGTAGCCCTACAACGTCCCTGGAGGTCATGGGACAATGTCAGAGGTCACAAGACGAGGGATGTTCCACAACAAGAGAGTGTAGTTATTAGTGTGAAAACTATGAAGGTGTTATCGCTCGCCTCAGTACCGGGGACGAGTGAGGCGCGCTGGGAACTGGTGTAGAGTGATTGTGTGTACATGAACAATGGTGTTAAATACTTACGATGATAAAATTATGATGATACTTGCAATTATTTTCCATTTTGTATTTCTTTGATTCTTTTTGTTTTAATTAATTATTTGCAGGAAAGTTTGTTATGAGGGAAAAAATGAGGAACTTTTTTGTTTCCTCCCTTCTTTTTGTTAAACAAGTGCTGATATGATTGTAACCATGGTATTACTTAGGACATCATTGTTTATCGGCTGGAATCTTTTTTTTAACCTGCGTAATTTCATAACACATTGAACTTATAATGGTACGGCAGAGACTCTTTAGAGAGAGAAATCTGCAAGTTTAAATTGCTGGAATTATTAATATTTAGAAGGTGCTGTTATAAACTTGTGACTTTGGTGAAAGGAGAACCTGAACTTTTACAATATTGAAATAATTCATCCATGAAAATCTTTTAATGGCTGTATGATTTTGTTCATGATGATTAGCAAATATTTCCAATGTTTAAGTCACCAATCAGCCATTCCATTTGGATTAAAAGGCATTGGCCTAAGTGTTGAGTAAGGTAACCATGGTTATTTAATCATATCATACCACAGGAGGATGCAAGGAAATCAATATGGAGGAAATACTTAAAATCACAGAATTTTTCTTGAATAATTTGTTGGTTTGGTGAGGTATGTATTAGTGAATACACACTTTTCAGGTTTCCTAGGGTCTGTATTTTAAATAGGACTTACAACAGGTGTATGTCTGATGTGAATATTTGTGTGATCAAATATTTTTAAGATCTTTAAATTCATCATTGACTCGTGCATCAACATGAAAATAATTTACAAAATGTAAGTGGTTTACAACGGACATTTTGTATGCTATTCATATTAGAAAGTACTCTCCATTGGTTTCTATGGTAAAATCCTGCTAGCCTACTATGGGGAAATACTGTATATTGGTCAGTAGGGTGAAACCCTACTAACATGCTGCAGTAAAGTACTGCCCATTGGTCTGTAGGATACAATCTTGTTAGCAGGCCGTGGGGATGTGGTGCCCAGGTCTGTTTGGTGAAAACCTGCTAACATGTTGTGGTCTATGCACTGTGAAAGATTTAGGTATCATGAACTCCACAATGAAATGTGGATGTCCTGCTAACTAAATCCACAGTTCAGCCATACCTACTCCCTACTCTTTGTTGTGTACCAAACAAGTAACAATCATATGCACTGTACAGTAAAACCTTTTTTCAAGCACGACTCAAATTACCTGCTAAATTAGCATTGATTTCATCATTTAAAGGTTAATGAGGTTAGACAGTGTTGAGTATAATGGGAAAGTAATCTGCTTGTGTGTGCAGCCTGAAATTGTGGGAAACTTCAGTATACAATTGGAAATTTGGATGGCACTTTTTCTGATGGTCATTGTGGTTGAATAGAAGTAGCTAGAGTTATTGACCCTCCTGTGGTTGTGTGTGAGGTTTGTGTTGTGTGTGAGGACTCCCGCAGTGTTGGCTGTCTGTCTGGCCTAACTAATTCACAATCTTTGTCTCTGTTTCCATTTGTGACAGCAGAATTCATTTAAGTTGTTATTCCAGATAATATCTCAGATCGCTTGTAGAAATATATCCAGAAAATTCTGAAACTAGTGATATTTTTTAACATTATCTATAAATCCTATTCTATTAAACTGACAATAAATGTAGGCTTAGGTCCATTTTGTGATACAGTGACACGTTAACTTTGTTCCTCGTTTGGTCACAGATTTGACCAAGGAACCAGTCGGTCCAAAAACACAGAAACATGTAAAATTCATTTTCATTAGAATTACTTACTCATTGATCTTATTGGGATACTTTTGCTTTGCTTTGTTGATATCTATCCTTAACAGACATTGATCAATTAGTTAGGATTATTAATTCTGTCTTGGTTGTTGCAAAAAATGCATGATGTTATATTTCTAGTGAGAGTGATGTAGAATCTTAGTGATATAAATATAGTGCAGATTTAAGCAGCAACAGATCTCCTAGCTTTTTGTTGTTTCCCTGAAGAAAAATAACAAAAATTATGTTATAATTCTAAATCGGTTTTAACATGGACTTAATTAAACAGATCTTTTTATAATGTGATGTTGACAAATTATAATGTATCTTGTAGAATAATCAGCTGAGCATATCTAGACAATTCCAACAGTACAGGTATTTTAAACTAATGTTTTACATTTGTAATGTTGAGTTAAAACTACTGACAGATTAGTTTTAAAACATGATTTCACTTGTGGGAACTGGGGTAACGTCTACTTAGTACCACAGCATTTTTAATTAGGTCTCAATTTGGGCATTGTTGATATTATGCATTTAACAGAGAAGCATTTAGCTCCATTAACTGACTTTCTGTAGAAAACTTTTACAGTTAAAATTGGATACACTTTACCACTGTTACCATACTGGTGGAATGGTCTTGTGATCATTTACACCGTTGCTCCAGAGTAACCCGTTATGTGAGATCAGATAAGGTATATGTATCTGTGGTGACTGTACAAACAGTAGCATCACTGGAAAGTTTCAATATACAATGTGAACTTCAGTATATCTGTAACTATAAGGTGGGGCACTTGATATATTTGTATTCCTAGTAACTTTTTGTACTACCTGCTTTTATAGACAATATCAAAGTGTCTACCTGGTCTTTTAATGTGCCTTCAGAGTTTTACTGGTGATAGACCAGATACCTGCCCATAAGTTGAAAACTCCCCACTGACGCGCCTCACATTGGTCCTCCCATTGGTCCTCCTTTGGACACCAGCTGTATCAGGTGCTTTATATCTGTACTTTGATTAAAATCTATGAGCAACACTATTTAGTAGCTTTGTAGTATTTATTGTCAACCTCTTGTTAATCTTAGCGTTCACCAAAGCTACTATTTATATCCAGTGTTTCTCGGGAACAACCTTATGTGTCACTGTTTCTGGACATGCTATCTTCATGGACACACTCCTACTGTTTGTCTTTGTATCTACTATTAATCCAGTCTCTAATTTTTGCCCTGTATTACTTGCTTGTACTGATGAGCTGTTCAGATTAATCAAATGCACACATCAGATATTTCCAACCCACACAGCAATTTTTCACTCTGTTTGGAATTGAAGTGTGGAGCTATCTTTATTTTTTATTTTTTACAAAATCTTCCAAGTTATTGCATTTATCTAATTGAACGAATATAACCAGATAAATGTTGCACCCCATTTTGTACCCTACAGCTACATTCCTCCCTTCCACTTTAACACTGCAGGGGTCCTGGTATGAGAGTTGAAATAAGCTAGCTTTGGCTGTTGGCTAGCACTTGAAATGTTTTCCTAATTATTTTGTATTACAAATTTAAATGCTTTAATGTTTTGAAAGATGAGTATTGTATATTTATGTATAACCATAGGAATTTCCAGAGGTCAGAATTCAGGGGCAGATAATTTTTGCCAAGGTTTAGACCTTTCTTTTTCATATAATATACAAATTGAGTTTTGAAAACTAGAAAAAATCACTAAACATGATTAATTTCCTTGTTAATTGTATTTTTTTTCTTTGTCAATTTGCAATGCAGTATAACAAGCACAGCAGGTCAAATCTAGTTCAAAAAGAACACTTTTTTTGGATTAACTTGGTGTAAAGTTTGTACATTTTACAAACTTCAATCGATATTGAACCCAAAAAGCCCATATCTATATTATTACTGTTTTCTGTGTATTGTCAACAGCAGTCGGTATACCTTGGAAATAAAATGCTTACTGAATAACGATGCTTTATGTCTTTCTTGAACAAGCTTTGTTACACAACACCCTGCTACTCCAGTGTTAACCTTGAACACAAATGTATTGGCCTTTGTTAAGTAAACTTTTCTGTATCATGTGGAACCATATTTGATGCACTCAATGAAAATACTGAAATATTTTCAGTTATTAAACAGCATGCTTAATATACCATTATGGCATTGAGGGTAGATCCAGAGAGTGAAGAATCCACCATAAGTATTTTAGTATTTTAGGAGGCACGGTAGTCTAGTGGTAGGACGCCGGGCTCGTGACCGAAGGGTTCGAGTCATGGCACGGCACTGTGTTGTATCTTTGAGCAAGATACTTTACTCCGCTTGTTCCAGTCTACTCGGCTGTAAATGAGTCCATGGTTGGGCAGTGCTAGAATTGTAGAATGCTAGCTGTGAGCGCCAAAACGGCAGCACCAGCTGTATGCTCCCCAGGGAGTTGAGAAAGATGTTAGCTGGTTGCAAAGGCCCTATAACCACAGGTAATAATTTGTGAACCGCTTGGAGACAACCTACGAACTAGGATGTGATAAAGCGGTATATAAGAACCTCAAATTATTATAAGCACATCCCAATTCATTGTAAACCAAAATAAATGTTCTTCCTTATTCCCAAGTACAATGCTTGCTGTCGCATATTTGAAACTGCTCACCAAAATCAAACTGCAATTTGCTTCTTTAAACAACTGATTCCTCCATTAGGTATAATTGAATTTGAAAGTCTTTTTTCAAGAAACAATTTCTATAAGAAAAAAGCTGTTCCCATAAAACTCTTTTAGTCCGAACTACATAATTATAGAGAAGGTTTCTTTATAAATACTGTTCATACCAAAGTTGCTGTTATTTAATTTTCTTGAATTTTAAGATGAATAAAATGACCCTGTAACAAGCAGTGGAAGTGCTTGAAAACATCAAATCCTTAGACATTATTAGGCTGGACATTACAATCGAGGACAAAACCAAATCTGCACTTTTCAAGCTTTCTGATTGGAAAAAAACATGTATATTCATCGGTTTTGTATTACATTTTTTTATTGGTTTAAATAAGAATAAGAGAATGAAAATTATCTTGTCAAATTACCATTATGTCCTGTGAAGACCATGAAACAGAGTACCGCAGGGCGGAACAATGCACGCCTATCCCATGCCAATCTGACATACTTAAAAATCCTTCTGATGCATTTTTGTAACTAATGTATGAAAATATGCAAATGTAAGAGGAAGCAACATTTATACTGTAATACTATTTTTGAAATGTGATGAAGGGAAAAACTTATTATACTTGACAAACTTAAGCAGAAAGAATATATATATTTCATATAACCTTTACGAAAATTGATTTTCATAGGAATCGTCTCCCTTTGTATATATTTCGAACCAGGACCCACCGAACTCTTAGATAGAAGTTCTACCAATTGAGCTACCTGGTTGCTGACGATCAACCCAGTCCAGTTCCGCCTACTGTATAATGTAAATGCATACCAGTTTCATCAAAATTTAACGATTATCTTGCAGAAACTAAAGTTTGATAATTGACCAACCAGAGCACTGTAGGCTAATTATTTATGCACAGATTTTACTCAACTTGTAAGTTCCCCTCAGTCTTCATATAATGTACATGCTCATCAAGTTTGCGTTGTTCAAAAAAGTACTAAATATGGTGATTTGCAAATTGGTACATGCAACAGCTTTGCCATCCTACATTGACATAGAGCTATTTTCAGCAAGTTGAAAGTTAGGTCCAGAACAATGAATTTGACCACAATGTTACCTCGACTTTGGGCACATGAACTTAATGGTGGTATGCAAAGTCATGCCTTGCCATCCTACATATATTCCTAAAATTTCAGAGCTATCGTCAGGGAGTAGGACAATATGACCTTGACAATGTTTGACCTCAATGTGACCTTTACCTTGGGTGTACAGACCAAATAGTGGTATGCAACACATAACCTTGCCACTCTACATTTGTGTCTAGTATTTCTATGCCCTATTTAGCCAGTCTGATGTTGTCCTGTACAAAGAATGTTGACTTCATACCTCAGGTACACAACACCCACCTTCCTATCCAATATGTATAAACATCAATAACTTTTTTGTGTGAACTCTTCTGCGAGTTAAAAGTTGTGACCCAGACAGACGGACAAAGAAGGGACTATATGATTCTCGAATAAAAAGAAAAACGAGGCCCAAGGGCCTTAGCGGTCACCTGAGTTATATCATAGGTACTGGTAACTTTATTTTATTGTTCAGATGTGATGCGGAAATCAGCATGTAAACTAAGTGAAATACAATTCTTGTCATGTCATCAAAGGATAAGAATTTTAAAATATTGATAAATGTTCGCTTTGGGGCCCTGTCTAGCCCCTGGGGATGGGGCAGGAATTCCAATTTTACAATGTAACACCTTCATCCACCAAAGATGATTCTCCCAAGTAAAGAATAATTTTCTGCTGAAAATTGATAAAATATACCCCAAAGTGTTATTTCCCTATATAAACTAGAGTAAACTTTACCCCCTCCCCAAGGCAATTTCAATAAAGCTCCTGATGATCTTTCTATCCATGCACTGAAATTGTCTGTATTACCTCTCGAGTCTGGAAAAGAAGATTTTTGAAATTTTGGTAAATTTTCCCTTTGGGGCCCACCCTGGCCCCAGGGGTTGTGGTAAACATACCAATTTTACATTTTAAAACCATCTTCCTCCAAGGATAATTCTCACCAAGTAAGCATAATTTCCTTCAGAAAATTGTAAAAAAAACACCCAATAGTGTTGTTTCCCTATATAAACTAAAGTAAACTTTACCCCCTCCCCAAGGGAGAATGAATAGCTCGGGGGTCCTGAAATTTACAATTTAAATAAAGCCCCTGATGATCATTCCATCAATGCAGAGAAAATGACTGTAGTACCTCCGAGACTGGAGAGGAAGATTTTTGAAATATTGTTTTAATTTTCCCTTTGGGGCCCCCACCCTTGCCCCAGGAGTTGGGGTAGGAATCCCAATTTTTCAATTTTATAGCCTCATCTACAAAGGATGATTCTGACTAAGTTTGAAAAAATTCCATCCACTGGTACGAAGGGCCATGTGAGCTAAAAAGTTTACGCACGACGACGACGGACGGAAAGTGATCGGAATAGGTCACTTGAGCAAAGCTCAGGTGACCTAAAATGGAATCAAGTGAAATATAACAAAACCACGAGAAAAATTCTTACATCATTTATTGTAACCATGTTTACAGTCTAAAATATCCACAGGGTCTAGTTATTCTGGTAACACCAACATAAACTATACATGTGTAACAGACAAGGTCTGCGGCCGTTATAAACTAGTATCAAATCTATTTACATTGCGTGGGTCATAATGTACAGTTTTTACAAAAGTAAAATAATGGAGAGAACATGATTCTATGTAGTTACAATTTGTGTTCACCCCCCCTATACTTTCTCTACTGGCAGGTCATTCTGATTTCTCAGTAAAAATATGGATGAATTATACCAGAAACCCTTACACGATCATAGTACAAAGCTAAACAATTTCTTCACAATACATGAAAATCTCTTCCAAATTTGTAAATTATGACAAATTTTGATAAAACTTTACATGAATCCATTTTGTAGTCTGCAAGAAGATAGGTGCAACAAAGCTACCAAGTTGGGAATTGCAGTTCTAAATACTATCTAGTTAGCACAACAAAGCTACCACGTAGGGCATTGAAGTTCTAAATACTATCTAATTAGGACCACAAAGCTACCAAGTAGGGCATTGCGGTTCTAAATACTATCTAGTTAGGACAACAAAGCTACCAAGTAGGGCATTGAAGTTCTAAATACTATCTAGTTAGGACAACAAAGCTACCAAGTAGGACATTGCCGTTCTAAACGTTATCTATATAGTCAGGACCACAAAGTTACCAAGTAGGGCATTGCGGTTCTAAATACTATTTAGATAGGACCACAAAGCTACCAAGTAGGGCATTGCGGTTCTAAATACTATTTAGTTAGGACCACAAAGCTACCAAGTAGGGCATTGCGGTTCTAAATACTATCTAGTCAGGACCACAAAGCTACCAAGTAGGACATTGCAGTTCTAAACGTTATCTATATAGTCAGGACCACAAAGCTACCAAGTAGGGCATTGCGGTTCTAAACCTTATCCATATAGTCAGGACCACAAAGCTACCAAGTAGGGCATTGAAGTTCTAAATACTATCTAGTTAGGACAACAAAGCTACCAAGTAGGGCATTGCAGTTCTAAATACTATCTAGTTAGGACCACAAAGCTACCAAGTAGGGCATTGCAGTTCTAAACGTTATCTATATAGTCAGGACCACAAAGCTACCAAGTAGGGCATTGAAGTTCTAAATACTATCTAGTTAGGACAACAAAGCTACCAAGTAGGACATTGCAGTTCTAAATACTATCTAGTTAGGACCACAAAGCTACCAAGTAGGGCATTGCAGTTCTAAATACTATCTTGTTAATATGACGATTAAGCTACCAGTTGAACATTGCATCTAGGATAATTATTTACTCTGTAATTAATTCAAATCAATTCATGATTTAGGTGGATAACATTTAATTGTTCATCCATTCAACAATAATTACAATACAATGATTTCATAACATTCAGTGACTCAGCAGAGTTCCAGTCGAGCTGCCAAACAGGTTCCAAGAGTTAGCGTTTGCTTCAATGATCTTGTTTTTATGGTACAGACATGCTTCAATGATCTGGTTTTTATGGTACAGACATGCTTCAATGATCTGGTTTTTATGGTACAGACATGCTATGTACACAGAGTCAGACTTTCTACAGCATGATAGTTGGTGAGTCAGTCATATAAAAAAATACACGACATACTAAAGAATTAGTATTATCTTAACATAGCAAAAACAAAGTGTAATACATGTACATCAGTATGTACATCAACAAAGCACAAACAAGTAAAAATCCCTAGTCAAGCCATCCTAACTTGTGAAATATTTCTATAGCCGAACATGTGCCACATCTCAAAGGACAACTTTGTAAAAATGCTAGCCTTTTTTCTGTACTAACTTATTTTGTCAACAATTTGCTCATCATTTACATGTTTTAACACTAGATTAGGAAAGAGTTACAACATTTTACAGAGCTTTATTACATGGAAAGGCATTTTTGTTTTGTTTTGAAATATCTTACCAACAATGAGCAACATGGAGTTTTGTATTGTCAATAAATCATTTGAAGCAGAGTAGAGGATCAACACCTGGACGAAAAACAAGCAGCCGAGCTATATACAGAGCTTGGTCCTACAGAGTTCCTTTTTTGCGATTATCAGCACAACCCCGCAACAACTTCCTAAACCAATATAATGCCCTTACGCTTCTAATCAAACTCAAGACATTTTTATCTTGAACAGAATATTTCTCATTAAAGCTACGAAGAATTTATCCATATTTCTTTTACATATCACTCATATTTCCTCCCAAGAATCAGATAAAAACTATATTTTCCTTCACATTGTTTCTTAAGAGAATGAGTGGTAGCGACACCCACTCTCATGCAACTGGTGAAGATATTGAATCAAAATTCTATCCAAAAACGTAAAAACTATTGAACATTTCTTAAAATTTACCACATGTTTCCTTGGCTACTTTCTACTTAACAAAACTGGATGACCCTTCAATGGGAACATATAATGGCAATGTTGTAATAGAACAGCTCGAGAAGAGGCCAAGACATGTCGCAGACCACAATCTGTTTGACAAATTTCTAAAAAGGATTTACTGTTACATTCCCCTTGACCTGGGAACCATGAAATGTAAACTCATTCAAGGTATTCTGATAATTGAGGTTTATATCGTACTTGATTAAAATCAGTTCAGGATGAAGTTGCTTGTAATGTAATCAAATTTGATAACAAAATTTTATAAACAGTAAGCTTGACCTTGGCCTTGGAAGGAATGCCCATACTTGACCTATGTATATATCTCTGGACGTGACATGACACGACTGGACAAAGATGCTCCCCCAGCCCTTATGATAAAAAGAACCTTGCAAATAATATGTAATCAATATTAATATGAAATTAATTGATCCAAATTTGTTCGATACTCTGCCACAGGCTATATACAAAGATAGTACAGCTCGTGCTATACCACGGTTTGTCATTTACACTCCTTTGAAATATCGGTATAATTGTTCAACATTATAATGACACATTGTGCTTTTTTAGTTCAAATATTTGGTAGAAAAATAATATATAGAGAGATAATATAACAGGACTATGATCTAAATACATGTATTACTAGCTTGCTTAACTTGATCTTTTATCATAAGATATATTATGGATTAAAATTGATAAACCTTTAAATCATTGTCAGTCTTGTCTTAAGGATCCTAGTCACACTGCACTGTTTTTCCTATATATACAGTAACCTCCCCTTAATTTCGTTTTGGATAACTGTAGGGTAGCATTGTGCCACCAAACTTCTGTTGACCAGGGCCTTTAATCATGAAACCATTCTCATGCTCAAGCATGGATTTTATGCTCGTTCTTGTTATAACTTAAATAAATCTTATGTTGTCAATGATTTGGAAACATTTTAAAGAGACTTGGAGCCAAGTACTGTTTTCAATATTTACATTTGACTTTTTGATCGTTTGACACGATCTAAGAGTTAAAAAAAAGTTGGTTCGAGCACAAAATCCTTGCTTGAACACAAGAACACAAGAACACATGAATACAGGCTCTGGTAGTTCTGCCGGTTAGAGCTAATAACCTGAAGTCCAGATTTCGAATTCTGGTCTAGCATAGCTGAACTTTTACTCTCAAAACACTGTTGTTGATTGTGCTTTGTTTAATCCATCTCTTTTTTTCCATAAAAGCCCCGCAAGGTATAGTTTTCTTTTCAAAAGTGATTATCAAAGCTACAGTTTCCAACGCGTAGTTTTACATTTTTTAGCAGTGGTACAAGGATCCTTAAATCTCCAGTACAATGGAAGATAAACTTGTGTGATGAGTTTTTCAATGGTCAGCCAAGGTCCCTTAGTAGAAAAGCACTTACAAAACATGTTCTTTGATGAGGAACTACTTAACTATCCGTTAGAAATATTAACACCTACAGGAAGTTTGGCACAATGAACTAACATCATCACAGTAACAAAGACACAACGAAAATAACAACATTTCTGAAAGTGTACATACTATCGTTAAGGTGTTCCACCCTATCATGATAGTACTGCTATAACATTAGAGTTGCCACAAATTATCTTTATTGGGCCATAGATATGTCTTACTTTCTGAATTAATAATTAAGATGATGTCTGACTTTTAACCTTGGCTATTAACAGGTAACACTCTGTTTGCCACACTATAGTCAGGGAAAAATCAACTTTCCTTTGGTCTGCTTGGCAGTATAAAACCATCATGTTACCCTATTCCGTTGCAAAAATTGTGTCCAATCCAGGTAAAATCTTTGCTTTGTTCAACCTAATGGAGCCTCGATGGCTAACATCTTAATCTCAGCCAACTCAAACGCTGGCAATATCATGCCAGTCAGTTTTACCTTCTGTCTAGTAACCGTTGGGGGAAATCAACCAGCTGACCATTGAAAGCATTTAGCTGACAGTATACATACCAGGTCATGCTACTTTTACTATAAGAGACCAGAACACATGAAAGGATGGACAAGGCTATATTATAATATTAGCTTGCTACAAAATCAACATTCAGTATCCAGATGATACACCCAAAAAGAAAATGTTTAAAGTAGTACAATGATTTATCCTTGATCAAGATCTTAACAAAACCTTTGCTTTAACTCATTCACCCCTGAAATTTCATAATAAACTATTCCAACCTTTGAATTGGAAAAGTTCAAATGTGTCTTCAGGGGTGAATGAGTTATGTAACATATTCATGTTATCATTATCTCTCGTGTGGTATCACAGTTACACTAATGAAGCAGAAAACAGGAGAAGGTCTATAGTTAATACCTAGTGAAGCCATATTCACACTTCCTGAGGAACAAGGTCTGGTTACATACTGTAATGCAGTTTACATAATAACAAAGTAGAACACAACAGGGGATTTAAAATTCATGACCAGCAACTTGAAAACAAAATACCCATTGGGATGTTCACTCACAACAAAACTAAACAGTCGGCAAATTGTGAGTGAATATCATTTAAATGAACGAACTTGATGCTCTTCACGCCAGCAAACTACAAAACCAACATCACTTTTCAACACTCTAGGGCTCATGGTCTGTTAATATATTAAGTCGTTTCAAGATTTTAACCCGTTCAACCCCTAACTTGCCTCTATCCTTGACCAACAAGTATTGTTGGACAGTCATTTATTTGGAACAACTCTAATAGCTATTCACTTTAGCAACATTTTTGTGAATACTTAACATGTTTTGATGCAATTTTATAGAATGTACAATGGATATCTAAAAATCTGATCCAACTTTACAGAAAATACTACAAGTTTGTAGATCAATTTTAACAAAACAATTACAGAATTTAATAACTTAACCATGTACATTATTCAGAAGTGTAAATGTGTTTCATGTAGACAAGATGTCATTTCATCTTTATATCAGTTATCACACACATCACTGGAACAACTTATATTTTATAACTAGAGTCCCATTCACTGGTCTTTCCTTCCCATACAGTCCGAGTCCTATCACACAGCAAGGGAAGTAAGATAACAACATTGATCATAATAAATACAAAAGTGGAGTGGAAAGAATTTAGACCGAACTATTAAAACAAAGGAGCATGTAACTATCACACATATCCAAGTTATGCACAATCATGTACTTGAATAAGTCATGATTTTGAAACTGATAACATATACATCCAAACTTTTTCTACTTGCACATATTTTTAAAAATTAATCCCAGCTATGAAACTTCTGATTTTTAAATTGTTTTCAGTTTTCAAATGAAAATCTTTTGTATACAAAAGAAAAACTTGGGAATTAGAAATTTAATTTGGGGTATAGAACACAAGATACAGATACAAATAAAGAACATTCTTCTTTGACACTACTACTCTGCCCAAAACATTAACAAGTCACTGGCATGAAACTAACAAGTATCTACTTAAATATGCTACATTCATATATATATGGATCATTTTGAATGAGTTGATTTGTGACACATGATAAATATAAAAATGATATTTACAGTGCTATCACATAATATGACATATGACGTTTGTAGCAAATACACTCATAATACATAAAAATGATATTATCAACCGATATAACAACAGAACGAGATGGTTGTTTCACATCTACGCTCGCACAGCAGAAACAATGACTTCAGAATTAAGGGATTAAATAAATCTGTTTCAGTTATAACAAGGAAATCTAATAAAACACAATCCAAGGTCATCAACTCAACTATATAAAATATTTTGTCAAAATTGCAGTTTACAGAATGGAATACAAGAAATTCTTGCAAAACCACCCTATTCAACAACTTGAATCTTGGTTGTATTGCACACATACCAGGTTAAGCACAACTTTGTTATAAAATTAAGAGTAGTCTGACATGTGAAATAACACCATGATCATCCAGGGTCAAAGATTCCGATATAACAAGGAGGGGTATCACAATTTGATTAGTGATGAGAATAGCATCTGCAGAGAAATGAAGATGATTTTTCTAAACATTGCAAACTCTCCTAATTGTGGTAAATGATCATCTATTACGCAAGGGCAGTCAATGGAGATGTGGGGTAGTGTGCCCTCATTGCCCTCCGTTCCCTGAGGCTGTGCGAAATGAAGTGCGACCTATGGAGCAGATGCTTTGAGCGTTGATTTTAGGAGGGACATGGGCTCCTTGCGTCGATCCTGTCCAGGGACATTGGTGGCATGGTCGACGATGCTGAACACAAACTGTAAGCAGCCGACCTTGATATAACTGCCGTGATGGAGTAGGGCTGTGCCCTCCCAGCCCGCACCACTTCCACCAATCAGACTAGAACTACTCACTTTACAGTTGCAGGGTTTTCTGCCCTAAAATAAAATAATACAAAAATACAATTTTGCTTAAGAATCTGAAAAATTATGGGTCCGTGTTCCATGTCTTCTTAAACAGTTTGAGTTAATCATAATGGTGGGCTCCTAAATTATATACTTTTGTAACTTGCACCCACTTGACCCTGATACTGTATGAAAATGTTTCATGACTTGAACACAAGATATCCTTGTTACTAATGCAGGTGTAAAGAGGCCCCAAAAACTGTACATTTATTTTATCTATGACTTTAATACACAAAAAGGGCCCTGATACTGTATAATTACATAGCTGTGACTTTTTATAAATAAAGAGCATTGATTTGTATCCTTCAAAACATGGCAAAGTATTGCTAACAATATAACCAAAACTCTGGACAATCTTCAGTGTCAAATTATACAAAGGGCCATAACTCTGTATACTATGCGACACAAGACCCTATGTCAGTATGTGACACACTGTCATTCCAACAAAAACTCACATACAAGAGCACATGAGATAAACCCGGTAAACTTGATTTACACAAAGGGCCATAACCCTGTTTGTAGTGGGGCACCAGACCAATTTTAGCATGGGTTACTCATTCATTCTAAATTCATTTATGTATTTTGAGATGTGCTTTGGACAACGTGATGCACAGACTGACAGACTAATTAAACTATAAACCTAAGTCCCCTCTGGTAGTACCAGTGGTGAACTGATTATCAGACAACTTCAGACTACTGCACTTACAGGGTCGCCCAAATATGTTGATGCACTTTATGACCTGAACGCAAAAAGGCCTCTGATACGTTTTTACACACCTCTGACTTGAACAAACATTGTGGACAATCAAATGTTACATTTTTTAAATATTATCAGACTAAGCACACATACAGCAGCCCCGACACTGTTAAATGCACTTGTGTTATGATATAACATATGCTGGGTCCCGATACAGTAAGCTTAACATTATCTCGCTTAAGCACATACAGTGGGCAAAAACACTGTATACAACTTACATTGTCTGTGATTTTAGAACACATGGTGGGTCTATCCTCCATGTGTTCCTCTGTTGTTTCCTTCCTCTTGCTGATGATGTTTCGGACAGCCGCCACCACAGCGGTGGGCTGGGGTGTGGTGGCTACCTTGTCCGAGAAGTCGCAGGAATATAAGACATTGTCAACAGTGCTGCCATGTTCACTGTAGTTCAGCAACTCGTAATGCTTCGTGGTCTGTGAAAAAGATTATCAAAGAATTAAAATAAAAAATTTGAAGTTTTTCTCTCATTATTTTGGAAAGAGTTAGTTATGTATATCGGAATTTGTGATTTTATTCATTCTATCAATAGAATATTTTTCGTCAAAATGTCGTTCAAAATTCAAAATCCTTTCCTTACCAATCATAAGGCAATCCATAGTCCACAACCAGTAACATTTTCTTTATTTACCAAGCTCCAGACAAATTTCTCAAAGATTGAGGTCAAAGTTAAACTATAGGTCACAGCAACCTATTTTTTGTACATGACACTCCGTCATTCCAAAATGTACTTGCATATTAAATCCAGTTACTCCAGGTGAAATAGTATAGAAGATATGCCCCAGACAAACTTTCGCGATGGACAGAAGTCGAAGGAAGATTTTTCGACAAAAAATTGGCAAATGTACACAATTTCCTCCTATGGAGACCGAGGTTGAACTTTGGCCCAAAAATATACCTTAATGTTTTTAATTTGCATTTTGAAATATCCACTTACTTCATCGTAGAATATATAGGCATGTTTTGGTGAGATGAAATTACAGTGACCAAATTGCGATAAGCACACATCCATATCAGCACCTGCAATGAAGGAAACAATGGTTATATTACAAACTAAACCTTTAAACTTGAAAACAAATAAGACGACTGTGTTTTAATTGTCTGAAAATTGTTTATTGTGCTGGTATCATCCACAGTAACAACCAACTAGAGGTCTACAGTTACAATCTGTATCAACAGTCACTAATCTCGCAGTCATCCTCTGTATACACGAATAGTCGTCCATTGGTCAACTTTATAAATTGATACATGATGCGTAGAGCATTGGATAAGCTCTGCTTTATAATCAAGAGGTCAGGGATCGGATCTTGATGGAGAAGGTGTTTTTGTGAAAAGGAAATTAATAATATATATATATGTATTTCTCTCTTATGGAACCCTTTGCTCAAGCAAATAGGCAAGCATATCAAAGTCAGGGAAATACCAAATTAAAATTCCTCTTCGTATAACAGTATGGCCAGAAGTAATACTGACAAATCTTTGAAAAACTCCCAACATGTTTAAAGTATTCTTGATGTATCAGTAATTAAGCGATTTGTTTAGAAACAAGACCAGAAAATGCAGACAAAGAAAATGTTCAAATATTTCCAATAATCGATAAGAGTTTGGCTCAGACAGGTTACCAGTCCCAGCAGTGACGCCGTTGTTACCTGTGCCTATGTTGAGAGTCCTGTAGGACATAGGGATAGGCTGGCCCTTCCCCGTCAGTGGACATAACACAGCACGTGCCTTGATCTCACCAGCACCTAGGACATAAATTTGATTAATATCATAATATTATTTGCTTTCCATTTTTATAGCAACATCAAGATTCTTTTTTGTCTAATCCAATTTTACAACAAAACAATTCCAGTTTAGAGTGCTCTTTGCAGCAGCATGTACAAAACTTTTTTCTGCTGATGCCCGTAAGTCTTTTGACAATGATTAATTCTTTAAAAAAAAAATCAGTGAAGATAACAAGAATGACCCTAAAAACACTTTCTTTAAAATTTCATCTCATCATTGATGTCTACCCAGTGGAACAATATCTGACAAATCATACGGATTCAATCAAGTGGTCTTTACATGAGCCATTTACACCAGTGTTCATAAGGTTGATAAAATCTTCACTTTTAACATGGTTACTAAATACTGATCATGTTGGCATGGTTACTAAATACTGATCATGTTGGCATGGTTACTAAATACTAATCATGTTGGCATGGTTACTAAATACTGATCATGTTGGCGTGGTTACTAAATACTGATCATGTTGGCAAGTGTTGATACGATAGCTGAACTATTCACCTTGCCCGTTAAACACTTTAAACCAGAGTTTTCAAACCCTGATCGAGATAAACTATTATGAATTGTTTACCTTGTTGTGTAAGGAGGCCGTTTAAGACACCCTTTTTAGAGGAGGAAGACTGCTGTTTGTGTGGCATCAGCTGTTGAAGTCTCTGCCAGGCTAGGATCTGTATGAGGCGCTCGTCTAGCTTACTCAGTTCATTATCTGAGGAAAACAAATTTTCAAATTCAGTCACAATAATCTCTTCCATGCAGGTCTTCAAATAAATCATTTGAACAAACTTTCACATCACATGCCCTAACTATATAGCTCTTCTAGTTAAAATAGACTTTTAATAGCTTAAATGGTGTAAAACTAGAAATGTTAGCAAGATATGAATGCCTCTGGCTCTACTGATACCCAGCTAAAACACCACCTGTAATATCACACATGGTTTTATGACCCAAAAACAAGATCAATTTACTAACAAACTATCTTAGTTATCTGACCAAATTTTTCAGTCCCTCATTGCAGCATCTTTAAATTATTTATTTTTTGTAAGTGTATGTTTTTAATTGACGAAAGAAAACTAATGCCTTACCTCCTGCTCCCTCGACACACTGCTGTAGGGAATTGTTGAGGGACACAATGGCATTAGATGATCCGTGAGAATTGGCTGTGGACCCTTTACCTAAAACAGAAAGAAAGGATGAGTACCAATAGTTTTGACTATGAAACAAATTAAGAATATAGAGATATATATGAACTACTCACTTATCTGATGAAGTTGAGAGTGATAACTTGTTTACCTGTCTTATATTGCTGATCAAACACATGAGACCCTGACCTACAACGACCAAGCAAACACATGAGACCCTGACCTACAACGACCAAGCAGACACATGAGACCCTGACCTACAACGACCAAGCAGACACAGGAGACCTTCACCTACATTACTGAGCTGACAAATATGGCCTTGACCTACATGAATGACAAACATTGGTGACCTTGATCTACCTGATGAAGCTGACACAGAAGACCTTGACTTACCTGATGGAGCCGACTGATGGTGACCTTGACCTACACGATTGTAATTCTTGATGTACATAACTGAAGAGACACAGATGACCTTGACTTACCTGATGGAGCTGACACAGTGATGACCTTTGCCGTGCTGCCTGACCCTGTGGTTGTGGTCTTGCCTATAGTCATACCAGTCACTTTGGCCATCTGTTTACCTGTGACCTGTGGTGACAGAATAGATGTTGGGTTACTGCCACTCATGTTTTTTGCTGCCATATTGTTTGCTGCTAGTTTTCCCCCCTGACTATTGGGTCCCAACACTTTTGTAACAACGGTGTTATTGGATTTGTTTATAGCACTGATGACGATGTTCTTTCCTGAGGGGGTGGTCACACCTGTTGCCGAAGATATTGCCACGCCCTGTTTGTCCCCAGACGACCAGTTGACACGAACAATACTTGGACTGTCTGTACTGTTACTACGAGATTTGATCACAGCTGGAGAATCAGATGATGTGGAGCCTGACCCTTTCACATTAGAAACGTCTGTCATTTCCACATCACCGTTCACAGATGAAGAAGAATTTGAACCAGATCCTACACTTTGCCCACTTGAGAAGCCAGGGGGATTTAACAATGAGATTGCCCCCCCTCGACTCACATCTAGAGGTCCATTAGACACACCATCTTGAGAGATGGGGCCATTTAATAAAGTCCGGTCTCCGTCAAGCACAGGTAACTTGTCAATATCACAAGATTGTCCCACTGATGAAGAACTTTCTTGTTCCATGGTGTCCCTTTGGACCACTGGTTGTACAGATGCTGTGGGTTTTTCTGGTTTTGATGTTTCACTGAGGCGAGAACTACTATCACTGGATCTTTGGATCTGCTGCTGTGCTAGGTGCTTGGCTATGCTTGTTTGTAAGGACACCACTGCTGTTAGCCACTGAAGAAAAGAACATTCACTTTCAGTACTTTGACATTGGCGTTCCTAACATGGCATCGAGTTGTTTCTATCATATGACTGAAGCTGATATTACCATTTAAAGCTGATTCGATTATGTAATTGACACTTTAGTGAATATACATCGACAAAGAAACTACTTGTTTAGATCAATAATGACTTCAACCTTGGTTTAAAATAAAACTGTAAAATAACATAAACTTATTCCCCAGAATTACACATTCCTGTTACACGGAACAATCTGAATGTTTCTCATATATAATGATCATGAGTGTTGTTATATTAATACTAGAAAAGTTAACAAAACAATATATTGACCACATTTTCATCATTTTGGATTTAATGCCATCATAAATTATAATAGTATAGCAAAAAATCAATATATCGTACTTACATATATTTTAATGATAATTCTATTTCCATGTAAATAAATTTTTGAGTATCACTAAATCTAGATTTAAAATTGGTCTTTTATTAAAGGTACGAAATTTATTTTTTGTGTCATTTTCCCCCTAGTTGGTGCTTTACCCATTTAACATTTTATTATTATTTTTGATCAGATCCACCCTTACTTCTTCCTGTTCCTCTAGTGTGGCAGTTGGTTTACCCTCCATGGTGAGGGGAACATCCTGGGATGTGTTGTCAGTCAGTCTTGGCAGTAACGGGGGTGGATTACGGTAATGATGCTTGATGGCGTCTGGTATCTACAACACAGATCATCTAAACTAAAACATCAATTTTATAGCACAAGTAATGAACATCATTGTATGAAGCTTCTAAGACACCTCTGCAAGATGATGTACCCTATAAGCATTGACCAGCCAATTCATCAGGTGTTAATATCCATTTTCTGATGCCTTATGCATCTACAATGAGTGACCTACCTAAATTTTGTTTGAAGAATCAACAGCAAAGAACATCTCTTACATCTAAGTAGGGGTGACTATTGTGTGTATTTTTCACTATTGCAATACTTTTCCTATGGGGAAAACACCACTGCGATATTTCAATTGTTGTGGTATACGATCACGATAGTATTGGATACTTCAGTTACCCAAGTTCTTTCTGTTATTTCTCCGTTGGTTCGTTTGTACAAGGTCATTTTTGCCTTAAATATGCAAGTTAGTGGCCATGCTGTCTGCTAGCGTGTTTATCAAACGTTCCCATAACACTGAGTATAGAGTATATCGTAACAGTTATGCAATTAAAACGCACATACGACTGAGACTTATATCTGAAGTGACTACCACGTCTGATTGCTTGTGTTAGTACAGCCTAGTGTGTCTTAATGATAACGACTGAATTATTAGTACTTGTAACCACATGGTGTGATAATGAAAACCGTAAGTGTTAGTAGTTTTGAAACTATAGATTGTTTAGCATACTATCAACGATTGTTATTGAGTTTATAAAGTTGTCATTGATTTATCAAACTGAGAGGTGTACAATCGCAACCTATCTATCGATAGTACGATGTATCGTTACACACTACATCTAAGCTCCCATTTCAATAGACAGGGCTTGACGTTTACTCTTTTGATGTGTTCATATAAGACCAAACTTGAGATGAGTTTCATATAATTTTACACAGGAAATTTGAGGTGTAAGATGGTGATATTGCATTCTAATGCTGGACGATCAATAAGAGTGAAGCTTCATTTAACCTCATATTCAAATTATCTAGCAAACTTAACCTCTTAATGTATCATAGTTTCTAATTCATCAATTCAAATATTTGGTTATTCTGCCGACTAATCAGATTTCACTTTCCTAGTGAAGTACTCACCGAGATGGATTTACGACGAGGGTGTCGCACTTTTATCCTGAATGGCGGACTTTGTCTGTGGATCTTATTGAGGAAGTTGACTTTGATACTATGCTGATTGATGTGGCCATTAAATTTGTCCCACAATTTCACACGCTCTGATAAACTGACAGATTGTAATAACTTTTGGTCCTGTAAAGTCAAGAATTTTAGATGTAACAACAGAACATAAATAACAATGTACATACATCTTAGTAAATTACAATAAATTAAACTGAAGAGTTCTACACCCCTTTCTGCAGTGAAATTACTTTTGCTTTCTAATACTGAAACCAGTGTTTGGACTGATTTTCAGGAGCAGTCAATTATTTTTGATATTTATTTTCATTGTTCAAGATTTAACAATTTTAAAGACGTTTACTTAGGATTAATAATATAATAAAATGAAGTTGGAATTTTTCAAATGGTAACAAATCCATTTGTGAGTGTGATATAGACCATGTTGTCAGCTTGATTTAGGTTTTATAGTAATTCTGTCAGTGCAGGGTATTATACTCCAGCTGGTATCCCTCTAATACTGATGCTTGGTTTATATATTTGCCCATACATTTAGAAGAATGATACTTACTGAGATGTGTTCTGGGTGGTTTGCACACATCCAGCGCCCAGTGGGGAGGGAAGTAAGAGGCGGATTGAGACAGTCCATGTGATACACCAGTGGGCAGAAGTCACACTGTAATAGTGGCCCCACCCTACAGCTCCTGCACACAGAAATACAACTCTAAAACCATCAAAGTACACATAAATTATTGAACTCACATAATTTAAACAAACATCGGTATGCATCTGGGCCAAAATAAAATGATTAGTTGTTTGAAGAAGATGACATGTTTGTGCACTTTGAAACATATTAAAACTTCTGAAGTTACTTCAAGTAGTATTAAACTTATGGCACAGAGTTAAGGATAAATGACTTGAGAACTATCATGAAAAAGACTTGAATTCCTGTTAATTTTCAGAAACTATTTTTGAGTCCAGGGCCCTTCACAAAAAAACACCTTTTGCCACCCATTACAAACCTGCTGCAGTAGAAGCAGACCTTGGCAGGGAGGGGTACCATACCATTGTCCAACTCATGAGCGAGCTTTTTCTGCGAGCTTCTGTCCCGACCCCACCACTTACGTTTACTTGAACCTGTATATAGGAAAATACAATATTCAAGACTTTGCGAAACATCAACTATACATTTTATATAAATTTGCTTAATACTTATTATATCTAATAATTGTACAGCTTTACACAGAATGCTCAATAACTGCATAACCTAATATTGAATGTCCATTAATTGCACAACCTAGTATTGGATGACCAATTCAATAAACAAATAAAAATAGCATAACCTCAAATTAGATAGCCAAATACTACTTAACAGCATTTCAATATATTAGATGGCCATTAGGCGCTGAACAACTGCATTGTCTTATTATATTGGAAGCTAAGTAATAACTGTAAAAGTTAAAATTATCTTGTGTGGAAATGTTCAGATTGTGTCTTCAAACTGATTGTGGTGTCAAATTATTTTTGTTGGAAATTATTCTGATATATATTTTTGTATGATCTATAAAAGGCAATACATGTACATATTTATATTGACATTTGGATATTTTCGCACTAATTCACTCAATGCAAACAAAACGGGCATTTCCACATTGTGATAGTTTCAACTTTTACTGTATTTTGACAACCTCATTTACACTGCTCAATAAGAGCCCATTTCTGTACGTCTACACTAATGCTGACCTGGTAATGATGTAGTACACGCCATATCCTTGGGAAGTTCAAACTGTACAGGATTCATTAGTTTAGCTGCCTTGGCCAAGGTCCTAAGGGGGTTCTGGAGGTCATCTTTGTCAAAGTCAATATCCTCAAATGAGGGTAGGCTAGGGACAACGGGCATAAGTTGCACCTTTGGGGGTCGTCCTGGGCCTGAGCGGCTGTTTGTACTGCTGCTGCTGCTCTTTGTAGAGGCTGCATCATCGTCCTTTGACTGTCCAGAAACAAGGTTTTTATTAAAGACAGAAGATAAGAGGATTCACACAAACACTGATATTATATATCAAAATTTTACTTTCTACACAAACAATGTACGTATTAAAATGTATCAGTCCTAGCTTGATAAAGGCACCAGTCAGTCTTGAAGTGTTGCGACATGTTTAATATGTAAATTGTTTGTGTAGAAAGTAAAATTTTGATATATAATATATCTAAACTAATGAATCTCATTGAAAACACTGATATTATAAAGAGGAAGGATTACAGTCTTATATCCAATCAAAAGTTTCATCTTTCAATCGTTTGTCCTTTGAAAATATATACATTGTAAATACATAGGTAAATGCAAATTAACATGAAAGTTTTCATCTCTTGAACCAATGAACTTACATCTACAATAGGGACTACCCGACATCGATGACATATCCATTCTCCTGGCGGAATGTCATCTTCCTCTAGAGGCGGATCACTGAAAACAAAAAAGATTTCATGTACATTTTCTCCAAACAAAACAAAGTAAAAAAGGTTTCAAGGGCGTATTTATATATTTAGATTGCTAGCCCACAGGCACATTATCAGAAAAACAACGACAGCCCAACCTACATTTTCATAGGAATATCTAAATTGTTTTGTAGCCCCTACATAAAATTTATTAGCCATGGGTATCGGCCATCAGGCTAGTGGAATTAATTGAACATCTTGCAGTTGACGTGTAACTTTCTCCTAAGTGAAATTTGGAAATAATTATGGTTAGTTACAAATATCAGAGTTCAACTTAAAAGCAAACTATTTTTAAATAGCCATCAAAAATCAACACTTTTTTGCAGTAGGTAACTGCAAAAAGGTTGTCTCTATAGCTAGCATATAATACTGAGTGCATTTTTTTGATAAAAACCAACATTCACTGGGAAACTGATAATTTAATGTATAAGCTTAGAACACAATCTCAATCTGTGTAGTAATGATTTCCAGCAAATAATGTGGCCAACTCATGATTGGACAGATTACACAATAAGCATATCAAGAGAGGTGATTACTGCTAATCAATACTGGTCTTCCCACAGCAAATTCACATGTCTTGATTCACAGCAAACCGAAGACTTATGACCTTGACCTCGTACTTCATCCCGAAAGAACATAACACACATGCAGCCTAGTGGCAAAACACATATACGTAAAAAGTTTTCATTTAAATGTCAGTTGTCAATAATTTATGGTCCATCCAAGGATAGGAGTAAAAGACAGACTGACTAAAATATTCATAGTTTTGTTTTCAAACAAGTCCACTATATGTATCCTGTAATTAAAAGCAGTTTGGAATAGAAGTCTACTGAGCCATCAAACTCATGCACGTTTAAAAACGGAACATCCATATGAAACCCTGAAGTAGTGTGAAGTTTGCAGCACCAGTAATAGGAAACTGTATATGTACAATTCCAACCATATACTTACATAATAGGAAAAACAAAAGTACGGCCCAATCTACATACACTAATAGCTTAACCACAACTATCACCATTCAAATCTTATGCAAAATACAACCCACACCAACTAAATAAACACCTTGTTTCAATTTTGCATCAAATACATTAAAAGCTCATTAAGATCATCCTAAAGCTGGCCAAGATGATATGAACAAATCGTCATCGATCAATTGGAATAGGCAGTATCAGCTGATCAGTGCTATTTAAAGAATTAGACAATTAGTAACCAATCAAGTAACATTGATAGGAATGATTTTCTCGAGAATCTGTACATTAAAAGCAGGATGTGAAACACTGCTGTTTAAATTATTCTCATACTTGATATCCAGAGGTTACACTCATTTTCGCTCTCTGCACCCCTGTTAGACGTAATAACAAGCTCTCTGCACCCCTGTTAGACGTAATAACAAGCTCTCTGCACCCCTGTTAGACGTAATAACAAGGTCTCTGCACTCGTGTTATACGTAATAACAAGCTCTCTGCACCCCTGTTATACGTAATAACAAGCTCTCTGCACCCCTGTTAGACGTAATAACAAGCTCTCTGCACCCCTGTTAGACGTAATAACAAGCTCTCTGCACCCCTGGAATACGTAATAATAAGATCTCTTCAACCCTGTTATACCTTATAACAAGCTCTCTGCATCCCTGTAATATGTAAACTTAACAAGCTCTCTGCACCCCTGGAATACGTAACAACAAGCTCTCTGCACCCCTGTAATACGTAATAACAAGTTCTCTGCACCCCTGTAATACGTAATAACAAGCTCTCTGACCCCTGTAATACGTAATAACAAGCTCTCTACACCCCTGTTATACATAATAACAAGCTCTCTGCACCCCTGTTATACATAATAACAAGTTCTTTGCACTCCTGGAATACGTAATAACAAGCTCTCTGCACCCCTGGAATACGTAATAACAAGCTCTCTGCACCCCTGTTATACGTAATAACAAGCTCTCTGCCCCCCTGGAATATGTAAGAACAAGCTCGCTGCACCCCTGGAATACGTAATAACAAGTTCTCTGCACCCCTGGAAGACGCAATAACAAGCTCTCGGCGCCCCTGGAATACGTAAAAACAAGCTCTCGGCGCCCCTGGTATACGTAATAACAAGCTCTCTGACCCCTGTAATACGTAATAACAAGTTCTCTGCACCCCTGGAATATGTAATAACAAGCTCTCTACCCTCCTGGAATGCGTAAAAACAAGCTCTTTGCACACCTGGAATACCTAATAACAAGCTTTCTGCACCCCTGGAATATGTAATAACAAGCTCTCTGCCCCCCTGGAATATGTAAGAACAAGCTCTCTGCACCCCTGGAAGACGCAATAACAAGCTCTCTGCACCCCTGGAATATGTAATAACAAGCTCTCTACCCTCCTGGAATACGTAAAAACAAGCTCTTTGCACCCCTGGAATACCTAATAACAAGCTTTCTGCACCCCTGGAATATGTAATAACAAGCTCTCTGCACCCCTGGAATACCTAATAACAAGCTTTCTGTACCCCTGGAATATGTAATAACAAGCTCTCTGCACCCCTGGAATACATTATAACAAGCTCTCTGCACCCCTGGAATACGTAATAACAAGTTCTCTGTGCCCCTGGTATACGTAATAACAAGCTCCTTACACCCATGGAATACATAATAACAAGCTCCCTGCACCCCTGGAATACGTAATAACAAGCTCTTTGCACCCCTGGAATACCTAATAACAAGCTCTCTGCACCCCTGGAATATGTAATAACAAGCTCTTTACCCTCCTGGAATACGTTATAACAAGCTCTTTGCACCCCTGGAATACCTAATAACAAGCTTTCTGCACCCCTGGAATATGTAATAATAAACTCTCTGCACCCCTGGAATACATTACAACAAGCTCTCTACCCTCCTGGAATACGTAATAACAAGCTCTTTGCACCCCTGGAATACCTAATAACAAGCTTTCTGCACCCCTGGAATATGTAATAACAAGCTCTCTGCACCCCTTGAATACATTATAACAAGCTCTCTGCACCCCTGGAATACGTAATAACAAGCTCTCTGCACCCCTGGAATACGTAATAACAAGCTCTCTGCACCCCTGGAATACGTAATAACAAGCTCTCTGCACCCCTGGAATACGTAATAACAAGCTCTCTGCACCCCTGGAATACGTAATAACAAGCTCTCTGCACCCCTGGAATACGTAATAACAAGCTCTCTGCACCCCTGGAATACGTAATAACAAGCTCTCTGCACCCCTGGAATACGTAATAACAAGCTCTCTGCACCCCTGGAATACGTAATAACAAGCTCTCTGCACCCCTGGAATACGTAATAACAAGCTCTCTGCACCCCTGGAATACGTAATAACAAGCTCTCTGCACCCCTGGAATACGTAATAACAAGCTCTCTGCACCCCTGGAATATATATTCCAGGGGTGCAGAGAGCGAAAGTGAGCGTTACCCCTGGATATTGAGGATGAATTAATTTGGACATTTACAAAATCGTTACGTAAATTTGCCTTTTCACAAAAGGTGACTATACAATGTTGTAAAAGAGGTCATTATTGTTTCAATGCCTCCGCTAGGAGTCGAACCCGGGACCTTGAGCTCTGGTTTACTAGTCTTGACAAAAAGTAACGCTCTACCGAATGAGCTGAAGAGAAATTCTCCCTAGCGGAGTCGACAACAGATTCCTCGTCTTAGGGGATGGAGTGACAACAGATTCCTCGTCTTAGGGGATGGAGTGACAACAGATTCCTCGACTATTGTATGGATATATATTGACAACAGTATCCAGACCTATCACTAGCCTGTGACTTATCAATAATTGGAAGTGTGCCAAGTTGTTCCCTCCTAGTCTAATTGAGTGTAGTACCCCCATCCCTACACCATGGCAGTTGACCTCATTGTACCAACAGCTTCCATATCACCATTAAATAGGAACAGGCCATTTCATCATGAATATCAGTTATATTCTACTTTTTATTCCAAGACATGCTCAGGAAAATACATCAGCTATTATACAAAACTGAAGAAATACGTTTATTTTTTCATAGAACAAAATACCAACAGTGTAGTGGATCAAGAATAAAGTTTGTATTGTTTATTTCTAACACATGATTTTCCTCATATGAATTTTGTTTTCAAATTGGGAGGAAATAAAGAAAATGTTGCTTCAATTATCCCGAGGAAAAACACACTTAAAGCCTAAGGCCATCATTAGTAATGTAAATATATTTTCTAAATATAAACTTAACATTAAACAATTTTGAAACTTAACTGTATCAACTTACTGGTAGATCAATCACTTTAGTTGGCTCAGATGAAGCATGTAAGGGGGTATATAATTATTTTCAAGTACATGAATTCAACATATTGTTTCCATATTGTTTCCATCACGTTTTTAAAGCAGTGCTATAATATCTAAACAGATTACATCTCAAGCGATACACCAAACAATTGCAGAGAACTAATACTCCAGTGCTGTTATCTGATCATCATAATTGACACTGCTGTATGTACTTCAAATTTGGAAAGTGCCTGACCACACTGGCAGACCTTGTTGTGAGGAGGCACTGGGGGTCAATATCTCTGCCCTCTGTTATGCACACAGTCTGTGTTTACAACTGATGTTTTTAACATGCATGCCGCACACTGAACCTGTTAAACACGACTGTTACCAACATATTAATCCACCAGCGGTACAGCTGTGACAGTTGAGGATGTCATAGATCAACAGGAAACAATTACACGGTTCTCCGACACCAGGAACACTCCCAATCCAGCACAATGCCCCCTCCTGATCATGAGAGTCCTGTGACTTGGACCTTGAACTTCATACTTCAAAATCAATACCCAAAATGCCTCCATCATCCTCTACTTTTGTTTAAAACTGAACTACAATCCAATATCGATAAAGAAAATCCATCAAATTTGAGATACTTTGTTACAACTTTACAGCAATTTCAAAATACTGTACCAAGATTAGCATA